AAATGGATGTTCAGGAGGCAAAAATGCCCGATGACCCATGTAGCACATCTTACGACTATGCTTGAGATATTGAGAGCATGTGCCATGATTACAGGTGGGGCATGCAAATTTTCCCTTTGTGCTCCAACCAGAAAGCATTGCTAGTGCAGGAAAATCACTAATTGTCCACATTAAGGCTGCACGCATTTGGAACATCTGGTTAGATTTGGCATCAAATGTTTCTACACCGAATTCCCATAGGTCTTTTAATTCAGCAATTAGTGGTTGTAGATACACATCTATATCATTTCCCGGAGATGAAGGACCTGGGATGATCATTGACAACATTATATACTCTGGCTTCATGCAAATCCAAGGAGATAGATTATAGTTCATTAACATAACAGCCCACGTGCTATGGGAAATACTCATTGTTCGAAATGGGTTGAAACCATCACTTGAAAGACCCAATATAATATTACAAGTGTCGCTAGCGAATTCAGGGTGCTAGGAGTCAAACTCCTTCCAAGCATCACCTCAGCAGGATGTCTTATATTTCCATCATTCGGTCGTTCAGTGGCATGCCATCTCATAGCTGCAGCTGTTTCGGGACACATGAATATCCTCTGAAGGCGAGGCTTTAATGGAAAGTACCTTAAAACCTTTGCGGGGGTTTTGGTCTTTTTATTAGTCAATACATTAACAACATTCTTCCATCTAGAAGACCCACACACAGAACAAGTATCTGCATTTATGTTGTCATTCCAAAATAACATGCAATCATTAGGACATGCGTGTATTTTTTCATAATGAAGACCCAAATCTTTTATCATGCTTGTTGCCTTGTAGAAAGACTCGAGTAGCTGAGCAAATGAAAATGCCTCTTTTAACAACTCCAACAAGTCTGTGAATGCCACATTACTCAACCCGTGAATGCACTTAAACAAGTACAATCGGATCGTAAAACTCAATTTGGAAAAATTCTCACACCCTAGATATAATTCTTCTTTTCCTTCTTCTACTAATTTAAAGAATCTTTTTCCATCTTCGGAAGGTCCATCCCCCACTCTTTCATGTCCCAAATCATCCTCGATATTTCGAAATGTATCATGAAGTAATCCATCAATATCATCATGCATCTCGGAACCTTCATCATTATTGCTTGGGCATGGAGTCTTTCTCGAGGAAAATCCTTCCCCGTGGAAAATCCATTTGGTGTATCCATGAACAAAGCCATTAACAATCAAGTGATACTCCACCACATTCTTATAATGCCAAAAACAATTAGCGCACTCTTTACAAGGGCATAATATTTCATTTCCTTGGGAAGCTCGTTCAAACGCCTTATCAAGAAAATTATTCACTCCTTGTATGTACTCATCAGTTGACCTTCGGAGGCTCATCCACCTTTTATCTCCGTTATCCATTAAATTAGTTTTATCCTATATAACACCAAAACAACCAGTATAAATTTGGTTTATGTACTTATAATCGAAAAAATCAGCTGATAAGAAAGAATAGAAAAAAGCCACATATTCTCAAATTATATGAGTTTCATTGTTGTGATTAGCAGAAGAATGTTAGAAGATCAGCATTATATGATTCTGATATCCAAGAAAAGAAAAGGCAGCAATGATCGACTTTAACTTATAACTAGCAACATGTATTCCAAAGTGTAACCTTCTTATGATATTCAGAGGAAGGGAAGTATACCATTCTGTTAAAACTGGGCAGCATGAAAATAATCAAAGTAGAACTAGGCAGCATTTCAACGAAGAGGAGAAGACTTAGAAAGAAGAACCAAAGGTAAAAAAAATTCGCCAGCATTTCGCTGCTATTTGGACGCTGAAACAGTGAGAAGAAGAAGAAGAAGAAGAAGAAGAAATCATCACATACCTGTTGCCGCTGAATCTCTGTTGAAGTGGGAAAGGGAACCCTAGTCGTTGTTGTTGTTGGTCGTGTTTTAATAAAAGTACATTGATCCCTTCTTTTTTAATTAAATAGGCTAGCAGCTTCACTCGCTTTGCTGCTACACCAGCAAATTCAGCGACCTCTATATTCTTTCTCTGTGTAGCTAATTTGCGAGCAGCACCCTGAGAAAAAATAAGAACGCAAAGGTTTGATGATGTCCAAGAGAGGAGGAAAGACATGAGGAAGGGGTAACCAAAGAGAAGTAAGGACATCACCATTTCATTTTTCAAATGCATATCACAATTTTCAAACAATTACTGCACATTATCGTATTCATAAATAAGATGAGGCATCTAAAACTACCTCAGATACTACTTAGCGAACCTGAAACTGCAAAATGAATCAACTTTCTAGTAACCATCCTTTCAGTTGAGCACTTGAACTTCTAGATTTATTATTCTTTCTTTTTTTAGTTATACTAGTCTCTCGGCATGTGTAACATAAGGTATGTAGTACAACGATTTTGTAAAAGAGTGGAGATCTCACGCTGTCATTAGTGGTCCCTTTCCAATCTACAATATTCAAATGATTGAGTCAAACCAGAATCCTAAGGCGCTTAGTTTGGTTCTCAATTGTAATTAGTGGTCCCTTTCCAATCTACTTTTCCTCACACAGAAGATTTAAGAGTCCTGTTCAAACATTTGACTCCACGAGAACACCCAAAACTTCCACCAGAAAAAATAGGTTATTGACCAGCCATTAGAAGCAGAAAGTACAAAATTGAAGTAGAAGGAAGAAACTGAACAGAGTACTAGACCCACGGCTGAGTACGCATCCTTGGCACAAGGCAATTATTGAGCTGAGTGTTATAAAATGGAGGATCAAAACCACATATATCCCACAACAAAATCTTTCATAAGCATCTAAGTGGCAGATGTAAGTGTATTACTTGTACAAATGAGCACATATGAGAAAAAGAATACCACATGTATAGAAGTAACATTATTAGCCAAAATAGTCATGCAGGTTATCCGACACAGAAATAACTGGCTACTCAACAAACTGCATAGATATCAATTTAAGGTAGAAGTAGAAGGAGAGGAGAATAACATAAGCTGGACAATACAGCTAGTCATCAGAAGCATATTCCACTCTTTCTTTCTATTTATGCAGACAAAGAGAACACCTGTACTGAAGATATAATTCCAAAATTTTACCTGTTACGGAACAACAATCGGATTAACTACAAAGATATGAATGGAAATCTTTTGTGTGTTTGGTTGAATTTGTAATTCCAAAAGGCACGAAATCCATGAGACATAGCCTCGTTCACTCTGTATTCATAGCTAAGGTATATTACCATATAACTGCTAAATTCTACCATGCATATACACAAACAGAGCAGATCAGTCAAATATGATTCAAGGTACTCATACAGTCACACATCCAATAATCTGAGAACTTATCCAAATCCATTTACTCATATAGTCAGGAATCCAAAGAACAACACAAATGGCCGGCCAACAATTTCATAAGGGCATACCTGTCATCAATCAGCGATTCACCAGGCAAATAAATATCACTATCTCTAATCTATCTATATAAAATACAATACGACATTAGTAAACAATAGAGAGGACAGAAATATGCATAAGAAATCATATAAAAATGGTAATTCATTGAAGAATTTTCTATAAATCTATATAAATATAGTTTTCCATATTCATGTAACATAATTTTTGTAGTTTTTCATTGGAAAGATGAGAGCATATGCTAAGAAAAATACAAACAGACCTGACTGCCTCAATAGAAAATATTGCTATTTTCCAGCGACTTTCCAAACCTCAGTTCTACATTAATTCAAGCCTCGACAGCTGTAAAATGTCACAAGACCCAAATCCTGCAAAATTGAACAAGTCAGAATACAATAACAACAAGAGAATTTGCAGAAGGCCAACAGCTTATGAGTTATGACCAAAAGTCTCAAAGCCCACACAAACCAAAGAAAAGGATGGACGAAAACTAAAAAGATCTTTTCAGGTTTAATTGAAGAACAGAAACTAAAACCTTAAAGGATTATAAATTAAAGCAGATCATATTGGAAAACCAATGTTTTTCTTTTGGAACTGGATCAGGGAAGGAGATTCTCAAGATTAAAAAAGTGAAGCTGCCAGTAGTTTGAATTCAGCTACTTTCAGTCGTGGTCGTTAATCTATCATTTATAGCTGATATAGATGCATGCTAGTAGAAGACTTTTCTTTTGTTATGAGTATCTACCCTTGGTCCAGCTTATTAATTTACAATAGATACGTGAATAAAGACCTAATTAAGGCTAATTGATTTGGTAAAAGAAAAAGAAAAAAGAAGGAACTCCATATATATTATATCATATATCATACTAAAATAAAAGGGGCAAGCACCAAAGTGCAAACTTAGACCAAAATAGACATCAAAAGTTGAAGGACCTTTTCCCTTCAATCATTGAAAATTTCCTTAAACAAATATTGTAAGTTTTAAGGTGGATTATCATTCAAATTTAAGTTACACTTAGTAATACAACAAAAAGCTCCCAATCAGCCAACATCTCCGACGCCTAAACACCATTTCTCTAGCAAAGTCGTTGAAAGCTTCGTCTATAATGGTTGTTGCATACTTTTCAGGAAAGATTACAAAAGGTCACCCCTTTTAATCAACTTTTAATGGTCTAATAACAATTTTGAACCTCACCCCTTCTTATTCAGGGCTTCAACTGACGCATTTTCTTTTTTGGTTTTTGTTTTTGGCGATGAGGAAATAGGAAACTAATATTAACACAAACCCAGAGAAGCTTACAAAATATTTTTCACTTCATAATATAACATGAGCTATCATAAATCACCAACTATGGAACCGTGATAGGAAATAGAACTCTAATTTCAGTCTTATACTAATATATTCTAAACAATACGACTTCAGATCCTATAGATTTCACCAATCAAAACATGCACAAAGGAGAAGAAAGTAATATCTGAAAACATTAAATGTTAAGCATATCACAAGTTAAAACCACAAATAAGTGAGAAAATGGCCCTTTTACAAAGCAATAATATCTGAGGGGATTACAACTTGGAGTTTCATTTCGCTTCCAATCATTAAACTCATACCAGATGGATTCCTTCAGTTGAAAATAATTTGAGGTATGGGTGTCTGAGAATGCGTTAAAGTTTAATGGTCTAATAACAGTTTCGCATTAGTTGGTAGCAAAACCAATTACGAGGGGTGTTGTCACTAAACAAAGAATCAAAAGGCATGTAAAGACCGGAAAATTTTGCAAAAGACTACATAATAATAAAGGTGCACGAAAAACTTATTGGAGTAACAACTAACTATTTTCAATCTTTTATAACTCGGTGCCTTTAAAGGATGAACTGTTACCTTGAGGGTCTTTAAGTCGGGAGCTCGGGTAAAAAAACTTACCTAGCAAAAATCACTGGTGTTGGATTTAGCCTTTAGGGATTTGGAGAGAGCACATGATTTGGGGAAGCTTGTCGCCTCTGTTCAGAGTGAAAGAGAGAAGGGGATTTTGGTGTGAGAGAAGGGGCTCTAATTTGGGGATATCTGATTGAGCTTTGGATGTATCGAGGAATTTAGTGGGGGAAAGAGTGACAAAATATTTTAACCTAATATTTATATTATTATATTAAAATTAGTTAAAAATAAAAGAAACATGGGTTATTTAATTTGGGCGGGTTTGGCGAAATTGAGGAGGGAAAATAAGGAGGGAAACAAGAACCGTTCCTATACAATTTTTATCAATAAAACCGTTCCATAAATAGTTCTACTGGGACTGTTTATAGAACCGTTGCGAAAAAAGGGGCTATGGTAACGGTTTTGTTACAACCGCAACGGTTTTATAGCTGTAGTGTGCCGATATCACCTAAAATCTATTGGAACGGTTTCAACCGTTACAATATGGTGTCTATGGCAACGGTTTGTGAAACGTTCCAGAAATAACTGTTCCCATAGGCCCATTTTCTAGTAGTGAAACTTGTCAATTTTTTGTGCAAGATCAAATCTCTCTCCATCGACCAATCATGCACCAACTTTGTTCTGAAGAAAACGTCATTGTGCATATTCCCTTAATCGAGAATATCCGTTGCAATACCAACCCTTACTCCCATAGTCAAATTCAGACCTCCTAGAGTTCAGGTCATGACAAGCCCAAAAAAGTGGTCCATAAAAGTCTTCCGTCAACCGAGCTTCTTCATCAATAACTTTATCTGCGGATGTTTCATCCCCAGATGTCATGTTGAGAGAACTAGAAACACACTAAGAGAAAAATCAAATTCTTATAAGAACAAAGATATTTACAAAAAGAAAAAGAAAAAATCTGTAAAGATAAAAGTAAAAGTCTAATGTAGAAAAATAGCTAATTTTAAGTCCCCGACAATGGCGCTAGAAACTTATTGCGGCCAAAAGCACACGCAAGTATACGCAGTCGTCAAGTAATAAAGTGAAAAAAGTCGGACGTTGAACCCACGAGGACTTGTTATCAACTATTAACTAAATTGGACTATCCTAGTTATCTAAACAAGAATTAAATCTAAAAGTATTTGACTTTAAGATAATTAAAATAAAAAGAAAATAAATAGTGAACTTTGAATAAAAGAAGAACATACTTATATGTCATCAATGTGATGAAAACGATCTAGGGTTATGGCTATATAACTGTCACGGTCCCAGTTCGCCCTCCGTGAACTATCGTGACGGCACCTAGTCTCTACGACTAGGTAAGCCTAACAAATGCGGAAAATAACAAACCTTGCAGAAATAATAATCAAAAAGCCGAATAACTGAAAGAAACAGTATTTAAATGTTGCTTGGCATATACACACAACTTTCCAAAATCTGATACACTATCCCAGAACCCGGAAACTCACGGATCCACAAGCTGAGAAAAACACTACATAGCTCTAATCTCCGAAATGTCTAACAAGAACATAAAGTACAGAAGAGCTAGCTACTAAATGCAGGAATAGAAAGAGACTCCTCGGTCTACGGTATACCTCGAAGTCCCGTAGAATCGCCTCGCCTCAAGAATGGTAAGCCTGAGTAGAGGTACCTGGATCTGCACATGAAAAACATGCGCAGGAAGGGCATGAGTACACCACATCGGTACTCAGTAAGTGCCAAGCCTAACCTCGGTTGGGTAGTGACGAGGAAGGTCAGGGCCCTACTGAGGTGAAGTAAGATATAAGGCTTAACAATGTAAAATAATAGTGTAAATAAATAACATAAGATATAAAGGACAACAACAATTATCACAGAGTCAAGTAAAACACAGTAAGAGAACACAACTCAGTTCCAAGATAACAACCGGGGATCTCCCAGGATACCGTCCTGTAGTCCCCAAATATAAATATCATCTTCAGTAGATCTCCCGGGTGCAGTCCCGTAGTCCAACTCATAAATATGAAGGGGGATCTCGCGGAATGAAATTCCATAGTTCCAAAGTAAACATACAAGGGAGCTCCCGGGATACCATCTCGTAGTCCCAAAGTAAAAGTGCAGGGGGGATCTCCCGGAATACCGTTCCGTAGTCCCAAAGTAAATATACAACAACAACAAGAATTCAATCCAATCAATTTCATATCAAAATGAAGCAGGTAATCCTAACCTAGCATGGTTCACGTTATACAATTAAGGCAGTTAAGGCAATTAGAGCAATTTAGTCAAGTAGACATGCTTCTCTAAGCTACAACAGGTTTATTGTCCAAACAGTGTAAGCAAGAAAAGGAAGAACACAATTCAAGGCTATTTTTAATGAAAAACCGGGTTTCCAACAATTAGCACAAGTACGCGCTCGTCACCTCACGTACGAGGCATTTCAATTACCACAATATCAATCCTAAGGGGAAAGGTCCCCCACACAAGGTTAGACAAGCCACTTACCTCGAACAAGTGCAAGTCAACCCGAAACCACGCTTTTGCCACGAGTATCCGACTCCAAATGGCCTAAACCTATTCAATTAAGTTTCATAATGTAAATAACACTTCAAATAACTGATTGTATAATTAAATTCTAAGCTAATACGCGAAATTAGGTAAAATAACCAAAATGCCCCCTCAGGCCCACATCTCGGAATCGGGTAAAATTTACATTTTTGGAATCCTCATACTCTCACGAGTTCATACATTCCAAGAACACTGAAATTGGAGTCCAAATGACCCCTCAAATCCTCATTTGAAGACCTCTTAAACTCACGCCCTAAATACTCATTTTTCCCAAATTTCTCATCACTAATTAGGTCTTTAATCACATAAAAATGAGTTATGAAGTAAAAATGTTACCTACAAGTGATTCATCTTTGTTTTTCTCAAAAGTCTCTCTCAAAAGCTTCAAACCCGGATGAAAATGGTGAAAGAATGGCTCAATTTCGCAAAGGCAACAAAATATAGGTTCTGCCGAGCGATTCCCGCATCTGCGGACACAACGTCGCATCTCCGACTCTCATTAAAATACCAACTTCCGCATATGCGGACCTCTAACTGCAGGAGCGGTTCCGCTTCTGCATAAATTTCACCGCATCTGCGGTTCTTGAGGAAAATCCCAATTTCGCTTCTGCGGCCCTCTACACCGCTTCTGCGGCTCCGCATCTACGGTTCCCAGACCGCAGATGCGAAAATACCAGAAGAACAGCTGCTGCACAACTTCAACTCCAAAATTTCCTCCGTTAACCTTTCGAATTAATCCCGAGCCCCCTAGGACCTCAACCAAAGGCATCAACATATCCTAAAACCTTTTTTCAAACTTGTACCAATCTTCAAAACACTCCAAACAACATCAAAATAACCAAAACACATCGGATTCAAGCCGAAGTTTCTAAAATCTTGCGAATTCCGCTTTTGATCAAAAACCCAACCAAACCACGTCCGAATGACCTGAAATTTTGCACACACATCCCAAATGACATAACAGAACTATTGTAACTCTCGGAATTCCATTCCGACCCTCGGATCAAAATCTCACTATTAAACCGGAAACTTCAAAATTCAACCTTTCGGCACTTCAAGCCTAAATTAGCTATGGACCTCCAAAACACAATCCGACCACGCCCCTAAACCCGAAATCACCTAACAGAGCTAACGAAACCATCAGATTTCCATTCCGAGACCGTATTCACACTGTTCCGACTACGGTCAACTTTCAAACATTTAAGCTATCATTTAGGGACTAAGTGTCCCAAAACTCTCCGAAACTCAAAACCGAACATCCCGGCAAATCGAAATAGCAGAAATAAACTTGGGGGAAGCAGTTAATAGGGGATCGGGGCGTAAATTTCAAAAACGACCGGCCGGGTCGTTACATCCTCCCACACTTACATTCGTTCGTCCTCGAACGAGCACAAAGACATACCTGAAGTAGTGAAAAGATGAGGGTACTGGCTGCGCATATCCTGCTCGATCTCTCAGGTTGCCTCCTCGACCGGCTGACCCCGCCACTGAACCTTCACTGATGCAATGTTCTTGGACCTCAGCTTCCTGACCTGCCTGTCCAATATGGCCACTGGCTCCTCCACATAAGATAGATCCTTCTCCAACTGGACTGAGCTGAAATCCAACACGTGCGACGGATCACCGTGATACCTCCGGAGCATCGAAACATGAAATACCAGATGAACTCCTGCCAAGCTGGGAGGTAAGGCAAGCTCGTAAGCAACCTCCCGAACACGCCTCAATATCTCAAAAGGGCCAATAAACCTCGGACTCTACTTCCCCTTCTTCCCAAATCTCATAACGCCCTTCATGGGCGAAACCCGAAGCAGAACCCGCTCTCCAACCATATAGGAAATATCACGAACCTTCCGGTCCGCGTAACTCTTTTGTCTGGACTGGGCTGTACGGAATCTATCCTGAATCACCTTGACTCTCTCCAAAGCATCCTGAACCAAGTCTATGCCTAATAATCTGGCCTCACCTGGCTCGAACCAACCCACCGGGGATCTACATCGCCTACCATATAAGGCCTCGTACGGTGCCATCTGAATGCTGGACTGATAGCTTTTGTTGTAGGGCCAATGGCAAGAACTGATCCCAAGAACCTCCAAACTCAATCACACACGCACGGAGCATATCCTCAAGAATCTGAATAGTGCGCTCGGACTGCCCGTCCGTCTGACGGTGAAATGCTGTGCTCAACTCCACCCGAGTACCCAACTCCTGCTGTACGGCTCTCCAGAACCGCGATGTGAACTGAGTACCTCTGTCTGAAATGATGGAAACTGGAATGCCATGCAAACGGACAATCTCTCGGATATAAATCTCCGCCAACCGCTCCGAGGAATAGGTAGTACACACAGGGATGAAATACGTGGACTTGGTCAGTCGATCCACAATAACCCAAATGGCATCGAACTTCTTCAAAGTCCGTGGGAGCCCAGATACGAAGTCCATGGTGATCCGCTCCCACTTCCACTCCGGAATCTCTATCTGCCGAAGTAATCCACCCGGTCTCTAGTGCTCATACATACCTGCTGACAATTAAGGCGCCGAGCTACAAACCCAACTATATCCTTCTTCATCCGCCTCCACTAGTAGTGCTGCCTCAAATCCTGGTACATCTTCGCGGCACCCGGATGAAAGGA